CAGTAAACAGACCATCAGATATGACTATTAGCTTTGCCGTAATTAGAGCGAATTTCCAATGTCGTCCGGGTAGTGGACGCCACGAGTGATAACCAAGTAAAATTACCTACTCATACAGTTTTCAGTAGGCAAACCATAAGGGCGTTACATGTGGCTGATCATGCGGCTGCTGGCCCATTCGCCGAAGCTGAAGTTTTTTGAACGCTTCTACATCAATCAAGGAGACTTCACTGTGCGCTGACACGAGGATCCAGGTGGACGCAAACTATGAAATCCGTGGTTGGAAACCTTGACCATTGCACTGACTGGAGCCCGTAAAAAGATGAACAAGAACAACTAAGACGCTTACCATCTTCCTCACCAGAAAGCACGTTACCAACTTCAGGCACCTTGTTTTTCGACTTCTTCTTCTTTTTCTTCCTCGCGCTTCCAACACCCTGCTGAGCTGCAACTTGATCTGCCAGTTCTTCGGATAAACGAATGAGGCCGCGTTGTTTTGTTATCTCTGCAGCATCTGCATGAGACAAACCTGGAATGACATATTGGGCCTGACGTTCACGGATTAGTACACCGGTTGATTTATACCTAAAACGAGAGGGATGCGTGACTGGTGAGGAAAGCGTAATGTGTAGCGGTCATATCTAATAACAGATACGATCTAAAGCGATAACTGGGAAGACGACAGGACCAGTCTGTCAAGGAAGACATCACCTTTGGTTTGTCCTTCGGGGTCTCGTTCGGAATGAAACCACCTATCAGCTGAGACAGATTTTAATCAGTCCATTTCCAGAGAGAGAGACAACATGGGACACCGAACGTGTTTAGGATCAATCATTCGATCGCTGGTAGTTCCTAGTAGCGAAGCTTTTGTTTGAAAGGCTAAAACGGCCAGAATTCCTCAGTCAGCATTGCACAATCAGCCAAGCTGATGTCATGTTCGCGACACAGACGTTAAGAGTTGGCAAACGCCGACCCATTCCTCCATATTCGGAAAGTGATTTCATCTTCCGCCAGACCACCGCGACTTATGCAGCTACCCGGATAAACGAACTTATCTACTGCACCGATCGGTTCACCTGCAGAGAGAGAACAACATGGGACACCGAACGTGTTTAGGATCAATCATTCGATCGCTGGTAGTTCCTAGTAGCGAAGCTTTTGTTTGAAAGGCTAAAACGGCCAGAATTCCTCAGTCAGCATTGCACAATCAGCCAAGCTGATGTCATGTTCGCGACACAGACGTTAAGAGTTGGCAAACGCCGACCCATTCCTCCATATTCGGAAAGTGATTTCATCTTCCGCCAGACCACCGCGACTTATGCAGCTACCCGGATAAACGAACTTATCTACTGCACCGATCGGTTCACCTGCAAGAATGAGGAGCGAGTTTTTATCTCACCCAATGTCGCAGCAGCATTTTGCAATTTACAGGTGCGAGGCAAGCGACATCAGGCAGATGTTTCCGAAGGCTGTATGGGAGAAATATGGGTTTGTCCGGAGCAGCGACCGAAATTGGGTCTGGTATTTGCCGTTCGTAGACAAAATATATCAGTCGAAAAGAACAAGGTTTGAACAAGAGATACCTACTGATCTATTTGACACAGAGTACGGAAATTGAACGCAGTAAGAGAGCAGATCTTCTGAAACTTAATTTGTTTTACCGGGCAGACGTGTAGACGGAGAGCAGGAGCTAACTTATCGATAATTAAGTGAAACAAAAGGACTTGTTTGGAGGACGTAGGAGTATGGATCAGTAAATGAATAGCTGTAAGGGTAAACGATATTTCTCAGTTGCTTAGGTTAGCGGAGGGGGTTTGGAATACCACAATGTGAGCCTTCGAGTCAAACGCCTGATCCACAGGGTAGCGGGAGGATAAAGGATATTATTCAGGGGACATTACTCTAGCCTGTAACTCAAAGATCCAGACCGCGAAGCAGCAGTTGTTTGGGTTTCTTTGATGAGCCAGTGGGGCAAGAACCTGACACAACTGGTTGCATGGAGCTAACTTTGCATAAGGATAGATACTTGGCTCTTGATGCTGCTATGCACAGAAGATGCGCTTTGAGCCGCTTCAGGCCCAGAGCAAGATTTATTCGGTTGTCGATCGCACTGCATAATTTGCTGGTGGCCACGACCAATTGTTGAGCGATCGGAGTGTGTGGGTTTTAGGCCCGACAGGAGAGAACAGTCCCAAAGCTATCAATATGACCAAATTGTGACCCAGAATCGCCCCATTCAGCAGACGCGTCCTAGATAAACACATGACCAACTAGTGCTAGTCATTACTCAGCTAGGTCCGTACAACGATAGTTACAGCCACTTCTGGTACCGTTCTGGTTCTTCTACCCAGGTAATACAGACAAAGTGTTAAGGGTGATCGCGTCAAACACACGGAGCTAACAGATTATCTGGAGGGTTCCAGAGCAAATAATTTAGACGAAAAACCTTTTCGAGAAGACTCTATTCAGATTACTATACTGTGTCAGGAAATGAATAATCGGTGAAGAATTATGCGTCCGAAAAGCTACTGTTCCGGCCGATGAAACTAAAAAACCATGAGGTCTTAAAGATTCTGCTTATAACCAAACGCTTACAGTACCAAAATTAGCAAATCCCGTCTACGAAAATTTTGAGTCCATGAGTTAACGAAAAACACCAGTTGCGGGGATCTTCCATAATTGCAGGTATACCGAAAACGTGGTGGGTAAAAAATCGTCCAGCCATAACACCCTTTCGGTTCTTAGCTGACATGCACGACGATCGCGATACTTCCGGGTTACTCAAGCCTAGACAAGAGAAATCGACATACAGAGGCCGGGTTTGAACCGGGGACCTTCTAGTCAGTAAGTTTGCGCCTTACCCACTGAGCAATCTCGTGATAACGTGGTGGATGACTACCACTAAATTCGCGCTCTATTCTTCTTCCTTTCACAATGAATTTGCTGACCGGTCTATCACCCACTCACTCAATCTGGACGTACACCAAATGGTCAGTGCGGACCTTAACCCCTATGACAAGTAAGTCACTATTCCTTCTCTATCGGAGTTTTCGAAATTTACGAGACCTAATCGATGGGGTTTATATAGAATGAAGCGATGAATTTCAACGACATAATATTCCTTAAAGATCCAGCTGTATTCGAATCACAAGAAACATTTAAGGTTCATGCATCCGCACGTACTGCGTCCGAAAGAAGTATATGCGCGCATAAAACTCACAGTGGTACCTCCTCTGGAGGTATGTATCCCTCCCTGACGCGACGAGCCTTGCGCCAAGTCCCATCCGGCCTTTGCGAAGCTGGTATCACGAGAAATCCTTCAAGAACAAGTGCGTTAAGATCAAGCAATATGTATGGAGTGGTTTACCATCTTTGTCACGAACTACACCTTCACGGACAACGTTCATCCAAACCTAAGGATATGGTGATGAGAAAGCCAGCTGTCCGAAGAGCTGAAAAAGATATTGGAAATAATAAAACTTTTAGAAGTACTCATCTCAACAATAAATAGAGTAGGGAATACCTGCTCCCTTTCTCCACAAATAAGCAGGATCACTTTTCTACCATGTGCGTTCTATGGGAACAAGAACGAATTGTCAGGAGTTCAATCGTATGTGTCCCTTCTTAAAAGCCCATAAAAATATGGAGAAAGTACCCGCAGGAGATAGCAAAATGTATATAGGCATAATAGTACCTCTTTACGAAGAAAATCCTGGACGTGAAACTTGAGATGATTTTTTGTGAAGATAATTCAACATTGCAAAAATACGAACCGCGGACTCCCCTATTTGCAATTACCACGAAAAACGTAAAGACGTAGCCACCAAACTCATTGTTAGTCCGATGTAAGAACTGCCTGGATCATGAACCGCCCAAATTCGACGGAAAAGCTGCAGTCAGTCGAGGAACCAGGAACCCAGGCGAAGGGAAACCAGAGTGGGACTTTCGGACATCGATTGCTCGATTCACTGAATAGCTCATTCGGTGTCAATGAGCTCGAAAGATTTAAGTTCCTTTATTAAGTGCTACGACCTTCAGGACCGTTTGCTGCACACTACAAAACAGATTACTAAGGCATCGGACGGACGCGCATCCAAAGTTGATTTTTTCGTTTTGAGATACCGACAGCCAATGACACCCATGGCCGAGAACATACGTGACGATAAGAATCAGCATTATTTCCAAGGATCTAAACATCAGTGCCAACCGCGAAAAGTGAGTTAAGTCGAACTAAATGCAACGAACTGATGGGGGTGGCAATCCATTAGGAAGAAAGTGGCCCAACGATCGGCAAGATATGGTTTCCCTGTCAGGACAAGCCGCTTCAGGAGGTTAGAAAAGTGACGTCTTTCTGACCCCTCTCGTAAGGTCTCATCAGATACAGCAACATCAATGTTGACAATGGTGCTCCACTGCACTACAACTACAAAGTTTACCCAATTACATTTGAAGCCTTGGAATGAAAAGAAAGCAGTGGGAGGGGGAGTGGATCTCGCGCTGGCCTATCGCGAGCATTTTGAGGTGCCTATATCTACAGGCTCTCAGCCAGACAATCTGGGAAGAAACTGACAACAAGAAAGCAACTGACATCGGTCAACGATCATTTCTTCCAGTCTCCGGCCAAGCACAGGGTAGGCCACGGAGACCTCATCCAGGAAGACAGGCCGCAACAACACTCAAACTCTTTGTTATCTCTTGCACACACTTCTAAATCATACGTTTCTCGACCTCCCCTGCCTAGGCTTGGGCAAACTGGCCGCATCCCGGCCCTCGTACTTCCTTCGGGTGGCATGGCAGCTAAGCATGAAAAGAAAGCAGTGGGAGGGGGAGTGGATCTCGCGCTGGCCTATCGCGAGCATTTTGAGGTGCCTATATCTACAGGCTCTCAGCCAGACAATCTGGGAAGAAACTGACAACAAGAAAGCAACTGACATCGGTCTACGATCATTTCTTCCAGTCTCCGGCCAAGCACAGGGTAGGCCACGGAGACCTCATCCAGGAAGACAGGCCGCAACAACACTCAAACTCTTTGTTATCTCTTGCACACACTTCTAAATCATACGTTTCTCGACCTCCCCTGCCTAGGCTTGGGCAAACTGGCCGCATCCCGGCCCTCGTACTTCCTTCGAGTGGCATGGCAGCTAAGCACCGAAAGGGTGATACCGCTGTATTACTTTTTGTACGTTCTCGACCTCACGATTTCTGCCAAACTGAAGAAGGCACAGAGAACAACACTCGAATCGGTAGCCGCTATTTCGGCATGCGTAGCACATTGCCGAGTCACCGCAGCTGATAGTGTTGCATGCTTTTCGCGATTGAAGCACCCATAGCACAACCAAATACCTGTTTTATAAACACTTCGTTTTTAACACGTTGACGCCGTCCGACATCGACAAAGCTTCCGAAGCATCAGTGGTCCAAAACCTGACGACGCTTCACACCATCTGTCCAAATAGACCGTATCCTATCCTGCAACAACACATCCTTTACTGTAGCCTGGTGCACCTGACCCTTCAGACCCAGTGATATGCCCTTTTGAAGTCGTGAGTGACGCAAGCTGGTAAATGCAACTAGGGACCCGGCCTCAACAGACGCTGCCATCAGAGCTAATACAACTACTGAGGTAGGCGAAATTCTCCGCACCATAGTGTTCAGTCTCTGGACATAACACTATGGTGCGACGCTGCCAAGCTAATACAACTACTGAGGTAGGCGAAATTCTCCGCACCATAGTGTTATGTCCAGAGACTGAACATTTTGAAGAATAACTTTACATTTTGAAGGTACTAGGACTATGCCGGAAAACGGCATGATAGTAGTCAGCTTAATCGACAGAACTTGTGCTACATGTTCGCCTTCAAAGACGAGGCACTAAGATAGCACAGAAGAGTGATAAATTCTTGCTTGATGAACGACCTTTGGTAAATATCGGAAGGAAATGCCTTGCTCAGCGTCAGAACTGCAGTCTGTTGCGGGATATGCCGACACTACAAACAGACACCGTTTTTATGTCGAGTAACACTGAGGTCGATTGAGCTGGACAACCGAACGGTGAGAGTGCAACTCTTAAGCCATATGTTCCACGAATTATCGCTTCCAGATTACCGAACACAGCCTAGCAGATTCAATTCAGACGTAATCAATGGGCGGCCACCCACGATATAACAAGATGCATGACCACACTTGAGTATTTTTTAGGTTTTCAGAAACCCCCAAACGTCGATTTTAGGGGAGTAGAACGTCTGGGCAAGCAATCCTGTTCGTCAATGTGACAGGGTACGGACGATGAAAGCTCCTGTGTAGGAAGGACCTTGTGGATTTAGCGTTATTTTCGTCTACTTTTAATGAACGACGGAGTGCATAAAGCACATCCATCAGATAACCGGCGGCCAACTGACCCAGCAACGTTTGCTTGTGGGGTTGAAAACAGGTTGGGGACAGACATAAGTGGGGAACTGTGCGGGTAAGTAATACCTCCCGATCGCCCAGGCTAAGGACGAGGGCTTAGTTGAGATACCCCACCTTGGGCTGTTGACTTAAAAGTTCTACCCACAATGCAGCAGGAGGATGTAGGATTTCATTCTCTAGCCTTGTCAACAGCCTGACTCAAAAACATGACCCATGAAGCAGATGATAGTAGGATTTGTTTCGGAAACTCTGAACGGATTTGACGATGCCTCAGCTGCAGGGAGTTGGCCTCATCTGATGACACGAAGAGAAAAAATTTATGACTCCTGATGCGGCCGCGCACAGCTAGCGTCTTTTGAGAAGCATAGGACGCTCTAGTTTTAAGAGCATTTCGACCGCATTCAGTAATACGCCCAGTCATAGTCAACCGTCGGGCGGCCGGGGTGTGTGGTTTTTAGCGTCATCCTTTGCTAACCCGTCCTTCCTCGGGGGAAGACAGCATCGCTGCTCCCACAAATATGGAAATGTTGGTCACCTTCCAGAAACCCCCTAGTACCTGCACAGTTCTATCGCAAAGGACAGTAAACCTATAGCCACAGGCCGCCTCACAATGCGAATTATAATGTAGCCAACAGGATCATTACATCAATCGAGCCTAACTACGACGACATAGTGACGAACTTCGACAATATCCTTGAGACGACATTAGAGTGCAGCCTGGTCCAATACGTTTAAAATCCTGTGCGAATGATTACCGGACAAGCACGCAGCGCACCTAACCTAGTTTTGTCGTCGTCCTCTTCCGTTCTCTTCAGCACAATGGCAAGAATGATGAGTGTACCACTTTCGTCCTCTGGGCTGGTCATGCTGTAGTCCATGCTCCCCCAAAGCCTCGGAAGAACTCACGATTGGCGGATATATATATAAGAATAGTCCAAAGTAACTATTCGCGTTCGTCAAACGAAGTATGAAGGCTGGAAATGAATTCCCCTCACTCAATTTTACGAATGTGAACAGCTCACTCGAGAACGATGGCGATGAGTTAAACCGACTCGCCACCCGCAACTCATCAGTCCACGGCAACGACAGTTCAGTATCAAGTGGACGGGCCGAATGACCTAGAAGATCCTGAATTTCATCATGACCCCATTAGAAATACCCTACAAGTACCGCATCCACATTCTTCCCTAAGTAAAAGCGCCGCGGGACCGTGGATTGTTAGGACGCTGTTGGACTTTCGTCTCCTCATTTAGTCATGTTCATCGACTAGCTACCGGGCAGAAATGTTTGTTGGTGGACTGGAAGTCTGAAACTGTGAGATATACCGACAAAATTGGACCTTAAGCCTCCTCGAACTACGAATTTTCCCCCTGGTAGGCCGCTGGTACGGCGAAACACAAACCGGAACACTATCAGGATAGCGTGAGTCTGATTGTCTTGTTTCTTCGGTCGGGGTATTAAAAATGAAGACAGCATATGTCTATAGGGAGCTGCTGGCACTCAGCAAGGGCGTGCCAGCAGAGCCGCTGCACGGCGAGCTGACTACGGACCAAAGGGAAGCGGATCCTAATTGATCCGAATATCAACCAATCAGAGTCCAGAAACGGTCAAAAGGGGAAGACCGAAACTGAGTTCTCCGAAACCATGACATCTCCTGCATCAATAACCCTGAGCCAAGTTGGTCTTATCAACCCGCATGTTTCATTGCTTTCTAGGTGATTTCTGTTAGTTTAGCTGGTCGGAATTTCAAGGTCACCAAACGCAATCGCGGATTGCGTTGATACCTAAAGTCAAGTTTTGCGCCAAAGCGTCTTTGGTTGAGTATGTCTTGTTTTTTAGCGGCTTCCGTTCCCCTGAAGGATGAAAGCCAGAGAATCGTGTAGCACCGCGCTTCAAGTTCACAGCATGGGTGGTATCCTCGCCGGCACAAAGACCCAGGTAAAAAGTTACTAAAAAAAGTAACTAAACTAAAGTAACTAAAAACAATCTGAACTTGACCCTGGTGATGCCTTCAGTCAGAATACGCTGCATCACCTTGCGTTG